TTCATACATTCGCTGATTACCGGACAGTGAAACTGATCCAGTTCGTTGTGTGACATATCCAGTAAGGGCGAAACCAGCCCTCGGGAACTATTTCGGACTTCTCCTCAACTTCTAAGTAGCCCAAAGAATTCAGAGAAATGTGGCACTTTGTGAAATTCTTATCACGTCCATATATCTTTAGCGGGCAACGCCACCATCTGAATCTACCGCAAAGGCTCTGTAGTCTTCTAGGTCCCTGAGTAGTAGCTTATGTTGGTTGTTAGGGATCGCATGAAAATAATTTATTTTTATAGCCTGCTGTTTTATGCGATTCAAGGGTTCATCATCTTCCAAGGACTTTTTAGTGGTTTCGATGCTTTCTAATGAGTCAAAGAATTCAGAAGTTGTTCAGTCACTGACCATTTGTTCCCTCATTTAACTGACAGATCCAAAAAATATTTACCATGAAAGTCGTTTGAAATCCATCGTAGGGGCGAATGTATCGTATGCTTAATAGTAATCTGCGATTCTTTGTACCTTATCATGAAAGTGAACGGTGACCTAAAGGGGCAGTGACAATTTGAAACTGTCATATTCATTTATGAAGCACTCATTTCCAAGGTCGAAGTCAGTGGTCCAATGCATTCTTCAAATATCAGGTTATTAAATAAGTTCCTAATTCGTATTCATCCTTCTGAAAATATAATTGTAGCCAACTCAGTTGTGACAGAAAATAAGACGCAGCTAGGTTCTGAGAAAAACATTCAGAAACGAAAGAAATTTTGGTATGTGACTGAATTATTGTCGTCTTGTTCTACTGCCTTATGGTAATATTAATACGTATAGTAATATACGTATATTAATGATATAACGCATCCTAAAGAAGATTTCCTTTCATTCTGCATCGCCCCCTCCCGCCGACCCGTGGTGTCTAAGGAGCCGTTTTAGTGGGTTATGGTTCCTTTGTGTTTAAGCATGTACAGTTAGTCTTCGTCTTCTCAACTAATTGCGTTTCAAGAGCTGATATTTCTTTTACGCTACCGTTTAAACAAAAAAAATGTCGTGTTACAAAAACTGGAGATGCTGATTATGTCAAAAAAGATACCAGTTACACTCAAAGAACTTCTGCAAATATTAGTTGTATGTGGAGAAAACTATGAAATGTAGAAAAACCTTAGTTGAAGTAATAAACTACATGACTGAGTTTATTCAACAGAAATAGAAATAGTATAATGCTGTATAACAATATAGAG